GGACTGCCAAGCTTTACTCCCGGTAATTACATAATCCAGAAAACAGACAAGTAGCCTTCTTTGTTTCCAGTTTCCAGTTGCCTTGTTTTCTCCTCTCTGCCACATATTTTTTTCTAAATCTCACAGCTTCCATTTACTCTTGGTGTCTTGCTCATAATTTTGATTGGTCCTGACTTTCTAGTTCTCTCTATGACTCACTACTTCTAAATGCCTGGTTCTGTATGTGTTTTTAATTTCAGCTTCCAAGAATAAAGGACCAATTGGTCCCAGCTCATCTTATGTCATGAAATCTTTACTACTTGGCCATCCTATGCATTGGCAGGCCTTGAGTCCAGAGCTCACATCAATCCAATCAGCTGTGACAAAGGACACAAGTCAAATCCTGCAACCTTGTTCACCAAGTCATTCCTTCAGCAGAGGCTATAAGTGAGGCATTTTCTCTTAAAAGGATTATGAAGCCAGGCATAAGCAGGTAGATTCTGTGAGAGTGGGGCCAGCCTGGTCTATATAGTGAGTTCCAGGCCAACTGGGGCTACAGGGAGACCCTGTCTCAAAAAAAAGATTATGATGTGGAAGTTTCCACGATTGAAATATGGAGTAATTTAAACTGCTACCTGTTTAATAATTTTTATCACAGGTTTCTCTGAGAATTAGATGAAACTATAGGTGATCCTCTAGAAAAAAAAAAACACTCATGCTGAAAATTTCATGTATAACTTTAGAGTATTAAAGAACCCTAGCAGCCATCTACAGAATGTCCCACACCATCTGTCTAAAGTCCATCCGTGGAGCTCCTCAGAGGCAGGCACTGTAACACACTCATATTTGCAGGTTCTAGAGCACCACATGGTACATAGTAGGTTCTCAAATCAAACTAAAGAAATAAATAGAAAAGTTAATTAATTAGTCAATAGTAAAGGAATTATTCAGAGCCACAAAGAAGCGAAGAAGTTCAGATTTTTTTAAAGATTGATCAGTGTGCGTGTGTGTGTGTGTGTGTGTGTGTGTGTGTGTGTGTGTGT